TCAAAACTGAGTGTGAGCTGATGACATGCTCCTTATCTTTGCTGAAATTTTGTTATTTGAGCTCTTTTCTCTTTCGGCGATGTGAGCGTCTCTCTTCACATGATTAATTTCTTTCAAACATATTTTAAAATATTAAAAATGGAAAATAAGATCAGTCAGAATCAACATAGTATAAGTGAATGCCTCTTCAACGCTCATTAAACCAATATTTTTCCACAATTTTAAAATTTACATTAGAAACGCACGCGAATATTAATGGGCTATTATTTAATATCAGCTCTTCTTTTGTAGTGTGAAGGTTTGTCGTCGACTAAAGACGTCTCTCCACTATGATAGACGGTTAGTTTCATGTGATCTGCCATTAGTCTTGCCTGTCTGATCCTGAAGGTCCATCGTTTGCACTTCCTCAAGATCAAAGAGGCACACAAGCCCTCTCACCACGTCAAGGTTGCAGTCCATGGAGAGGGATTCCCGCCTTATCTGTCTGCGATCTTACCTACCTATCCTCATCCAAGTCTAATTCTGTATCAAGTAGGAACATTTGCTTCCAAAATAGGCTAATGCAGTAATTTGGAAAGGAATTACATTCCTAAGGGAGTGTGTGTCAAGTGATGGCAGATCGCCCTCAGCACGCGTTGTTTCTTAGCTGACTTTCTGATCTATGGATTCTCTGAATAACAGACAATCGCTCATGGGAGAGGGATCACAGAGCACTGTAGTACATGCTGTATACAATATCGAGTCGAACTCTATAGAAAACACCTTACCGGAGCTGTATATAAGTGACATTCCCGTTGATTCTAATGTTACGTAATAACTCGGTCACTACTTTTATTCCGTCGGTGTAAGAGGCACAGCTTCTTGTCATTTGTATGTCCATTAGTTTTAAAACATTAGGAAATACAATTAAGACAGTATTAAGTCCTGAAATTTAAAACTTCATATAGTGTTTTGCTTGCCACACACATCGTGAGGAACGCATGTCTATTGGTCTTCTAAATATTTGTGTTCTTACGCACAGAGAACCCAAAATGAAAGCATACCGGGAGGCATATCTGTATATCCACACGTTTCCTATCAAAGATAATGAACTGGCTATATTTAAAATTTGATACTGAGGTCTTCATAAAAATTTATCGGCAAAGTTCGTATTTGTTTGTGTCGTTCCAGCGCAAACCGTGCTTCATATGAAGCCAAAATCAAGGTTTATTAACGTTCTCGAAACCAACTTACCGTAAAAATATTGGCACATGATATAAGATATAGATCTTATTAAGATCTACAACGTATGTCTGAAACCTCACTAGTTCCGTCTGCTTTGCTCCCAGTTATAGACCCCTCTGATACTCATTGTGAGTTTGTTGTGCCTTGGTTGTTCTGTACGTCGCTTTTCACACACCCTGTTCAATGTCTGTTCACTTGAAGAACACGTTTTGAACCAATGTTGCCGTCATCAGGTTTAATTCTCTGCTTCTACGTCATTACATAAGGGATCCCCTCCCGATGTCTAGAAATATTGATACAACTATATATTAGTGTTTTTAATTTAGTTAAATCCGATGAAACTTAACACGCGTGTGATGCGACTAACGTTCAGAACTTAAGAAATTGTTTGTATTTAGTTTTCCTACATCTGTGATGACTCTTATTTTACATAGAAAGATTCGAACGAAATTTTCCACTGGCAAAGTTTAGACTGTACTCTCACATGTTTACTGCTGGAAATTTTGACAAATTCTTATATTCTTACATTTTTTCCCAAACTGTTATCAGAGGCAAGACCATTCGAAATCTGTACTTAAACATATAACAGATAACTTTTATCATCCCTAAACCCAAGAATATTTGTCTTCATAGTACCATGTTTAGTGAGAAATTCAAAAGATATTCGTAAGGATTTTACTCATTCTTTCCGCATGAATATAAATAGCAGTTATGTATTTTCCTTCTCAGGTTAGCTGCATCAAAGGTTTCTCAAAACAAAAAAGTCGGAGCTTAAAGCTGGCCTTTATCATCCACCTACTACCAAGGTTAAAAATGCGTGAAATTTTACTCCACATCTCTTTTCTCCTTCAAAAGATAATGCTAATTACAGAGATTGCTTTACACCAGTAACAGTAGTTCTGTGATATTTATGTCATTCATGCATGAATGACGGAAAAAGCTCTTGATTTTGCAATCGGAGAGACGTATTTAATAGTGGAACTAATCGATTAAACTTTTATTAGTGAGTCGGGTGTAGTTGTATCTAGGAGGAATCCTTTAATTTATAAGTTAAAATTTTGGTGTAGTTTGAAAACAATTTGAATTAAATTCTGTTTGAGAAAGAGGTTTCGCGCACATTTTGAGGCGACCGACACGTTTATGAAGCTGTTGTCGTGACTTATTTTTCGCATTTCACAGAGTACGAAATATACCGAACACAAAAGTGCACATTAAATTACACATTTAAATGTTAGTTTTCCTGCTCCAACATGAGCTGCACCTGCGCTTTAAGATAAAAGATACGAAGGTCAAAAAGTGACAGTAGCGATTCGTAAATCTTTCCACGTGAAATACAGCGCAGAAAAGCGTATTTATGGAAACTGCACTGAATTATCAGTTATGCACTTTTTATTTGGGTATTTTCAGCAGCGTATTCTAAATTTTCAGATATTTAGATACAACTTAATATGTATAAAGCGTACAGCTGTTTAACCCACACTGAATGCTTCTTCCACGCACTCAAGAAACATTTTCTAGCTGATAAAATGTAGACACGTACTTATTTGATTGTATCTGCAGGCCTAATTTATTCATGTACGAGTAAGTAGCAGAACACCTGTCATAAGATATAGGATAATGAACAAAAGAGTAAGTTTGATAATGTTTTGTTGCGATTAGAAATATTGAAAGACTTGTCACCTATGACAATATAATGCAATGTAAATAACTGTGTATGTACTAGTATTTAGTAATTAAATAACTAATCTTCTTCCTGTTCCATTCGTATTTGGGGCTAAGCAATAGACTCTTAGCGGATATTATTAATGTTTCAATAGTAGGCTTATATTAAAGAGAAATAATTTCGCGTCTGTAGGTTATGACAGGGAGTGGACTTTAGCAATATTTGTTTACTTTCGAAATGAATTCGATTTAGATGCCTGAAATTAACAGCCACGAAAAGGAAATACACAGAAATTAAGACGCTAGTAAGGAGGTTGATCTAGAAATAAACGTAAAGAAAACCAATCACGTTATAGACCACTCTACTACAATGTATGTTCGTATTTCGTCACTAGAATTAAAGAAAATTTTTAATAAATCCTTCGGAAATGGGACAAAGTTAAAATATGCGGGAAAGACAGTAACAAACCAAAATTACATTTTTGAAGAAAATAACAGCAGAGTACGTTCGGAAATGTTCGGAACTGCAGATCATAATCAGAATTATATGGACAGAGATGTGGAACTAATGGGAGAGTTAAAAGAAGTGCATAAAGATGTTTTGATAGAATAAAAGAAGGGACGAGAATACTTGGGAAAAACTGACGATAAAAGAAAGGCTAATATTCAAATTACTTATAATGATATAGATTACAAAGAATAATGTGGACAGAACTAATCAGTCTCAGGCCCGGTGATGGAATCTTGTGACTACGGTAATGAACCTAAAGTTCCATAAAGAACAGGGAGTTTATTTACTGGCTGAAGAACTATTAGTTTCTGAAGTTGTATTCTTCTCCACAGAATGATTCTGTATTCAACAGCAACGAACAATCACATTCAGCAAAGTAATGTCACAAGGGGTTTCTGTGAACATTGTAATGAAACTTCTTATTCCATAAAAGATAGGAAATTTCTTGTCTGAGCTCAACTGGGCGACTATTACCTACTGAATAATGACTCAGTTCCACATAATTTTTAGTTAGTTAGCTTGTAGCTCAAGTAGAGTTACGAAGAAGTTTTTATTACCTAAGTTTTGGTTGTAATTCTAACTTCGTACTTAATGTCAAAATACAGATAACGGCGCATTTAAATTTTATCGCTGAGAAATAGCATGCTTACTTTCACCTGTGCGGTATATAAAGCGCACTGTGGTAGAGACGTCTGCTTACAAACACCATTATAGTCATCTTTGGGAATCCAGTAGTTGGTAAGTAAAAATGTTTTGTGTTCTTCACTTCTATACAATCGTGTCATTTGTGTCGACATTTACTTCCTCTCATTTTCTGTATAAATCTTGATTATGGAATAAACACTCCCCCTGTGGATGTATTAACGTTTTAAAGCCTAAAATTTAAATGTACGTTTAAAGTGAGTCTTAGTAGGATTTGAGGTTTTCACGGTGGTGTGTCCGAAGATGGCTGTCTTCTGCCTTGTTGCGCCGTGTAGACTGGTAGAAGTTTACCGTCGTTTCAGAGGTCTTTGCTACCTCCATCATCAAGACTCATACCCCTGATGATGGAGGCAGCAAAGACCTCTGAAACGTCGGTAAACTGATAAGAGACTACACGGCTGAAGAACCCAGAAGATAGCCATCTTCGAAGTTAGAGTCTTGTTGAGGCTCTAAACAAGGACCGAGACCTTAATCTAAACCATACATGAACTAAACTTTAGCGTATGTAAGTTTCGCTTAGGTTGTGATATTTTTAACAAAGTACATTACAATATTATCTTTCTCCCATCGTGAAAACTTCAGATCTCAACTGTCACTATTTAACACGAGGTCAGAGGATTAAAAGAGAAATGGATTATACTGCTGAATACTGTTACAAAATTATATTCGAAAGAATACATGTCTAGCCCATTTTATATTGGATGAATCAACAGATAAAGTAAAAAGTAAAGTTTGTCCCACTATACGCCATGTAGGCGTTTGGGGTGAGTGGAGGTATAGCTCCTCTCTTCCTTGACCTCGGCACTAGATGGGGGTGAGTGGTTAGCGTCACGCCCCGGCCGGCTTTACCCCCGGGAAAGGACCCCGGTACCCATTGTAGAGGAGACTGGGTGGGCCCCAGAGCCGGTCTGGACGCAGAGGCTAGAGGAAAAATCCTCTGACCCCGTCGGGGATCGAACCCTAGTCGTCCAACCCGTAGCTAGTCATTATACTGACTGAGCTATCCTGACTCATTGAATCAACAGATAACTGTGTTAAATATCGGTCGTATTTATGCTCCATTTTAATGGGTGGAATTTAAATACGTAGCAGTGATTTTAATGTCAGACAAGGTGAAGGGGTTTTATATCTGCCATCAGCTGGCTACTGTCGTTAAAGGAGGATACGTGATCACTTATTAGCTGCCACAGAGTAGTCAAATATTTGTTATATTGCTTGCTTCTAGTGATAAATTTACCTTAATAATCTCAGGAGTAAAATAGGCTCTCCATATAGTTTTAATAATACTTTTTGCAACTAGTTTTTACTATTGAGATTATTCGTAATGTTCATCTAGCCGAAAACGTATGTGGTAGATTAACGTACATAAAATATTTACGTCCTTTTCGCCACGTATCCAAAATATGTGCACTCTTACTTTGTAAAATATTTTACATTTTGTAATAAATATGTACCATTTTAACTTAACAAATAGCAGTTCAGTTTAGTAAGGTATATTGAGAACATTATATTGCATTTTGTTGGGATATGTTGTATTTTATTGCATTGTATCACGTATCATATTACATTATACAATATTATATAATACTATGTTGTGGTACATTATATCATATTATATCAAGTTATATTTTAAAAGCATATACTGAATAATATTATTTAAATTGTTACATTTTTGTTATATCACAGACGTGTCTCAGCATGTTGCACTGAATAATTGTACGCAAGTTTAATTTGAGAAGGCAAAAAATACACGACCATGCCAACCTTTTGAACTCCACTTTCAAAATAAAAGGAAATCTTTCTTTATGAGGTAGGGATTCACAATTCTTTTTTTTTTTGTGCATGGCTCCAAAAAATTATTGCAACTGGACCACCAGCTGGCGGAAGTAAGTGCAGTCTAGTATAACTGTAAGGGAAGTTTCCGTTAGTGTTCTGTTGGAATTTCCCCTTAGTTTCAAGAAGTAAGTTCCACGTTTGATAACATACACTAGCATAATTTACTCCACAGAAATGTCGGTGTCAGTTTTAATGTATTATTGGTTAAATACTAAATATATGTTCTACCACACAGTAAGAATGACTATTCAAACATCAAATCATGCTGCAAAACTTAGCGTCCCAATCACGTTTCGTTTTACACGTAAAACATGTTTTGCTCTCCCCGTTTTGCGAATCAACGATTTACTTTGATGAGAATCCTCTGCCTCACTCTCAAATACAAAGCACGTTGATTTATCAATAGTCTGTAGGCTGATAATCGAGAGGTACGCGGTTTATATCTCGACAGGGTTACACCAACTGTCCTGACTGGCGATTTCATGGCTCTCCTCAGTTCTTCCAGGCGAAACTCGATCTGTTGCCTTGAAACAGGTTACGGCCACTTCAGTACACATCCTGTTTTACCCATTACTTTAGACAATTTTTCCGTTTTGTTTAAGAAATTCTGAAGTTAAGCGACCAGGTTTAGTGGACGAGCCCCATGTCTTCATAGTGCCTATTAAATTTAGTGATAAATTTACCTTAATAATCTCAGGAGTAAAATAGGCTCTCCATATAGTTTTAATAATACTTTTTGCAACTAGTTTTTACTATTGAGATTATTCGTAATGTTCATCTAGCCGAAAACGTATGTGGTAGATTAACGTACATAAAATATTTACGTCCTTTTCGCCACGTATCCAAAATATGTGCACTCTTACTTTGTAAAATATTTTACATTTTGTAATAAATATGTACCATTTTAACTTAACAAATAGCAGTTCAGTTTAGTAAGGTATATTGAGAACATTATATTGCATTTTGTTGGGATATGTTGTATTTTATTGCATTGTATCACGTATCATATTACATTATACAATATTATATAATACTATGTTGTGGTACATTATATCATATTATATCAAGTTATATTTTAAAAGCATATACTGAATAATATTATTTAAATTGTTACATTTTTGTTATATCACAGACGTGTCTCAGCATGTTGCACTGAATAATTGTACGCAAGTTTAATTTGAGAAGGCAAAAAATACACGACCATGCCAACCTTTTGAACTCCACTTTCAAAATAAAAGGAAATCTTTCTTTATGAGGTAGGGATTCACAATTCTTTTTTTTTTTGTGCATGGCTCCAAAAAATTATTGCAACTGGACCACCAGCTGGCGGAAGTAAGTGCAGTCTAGTATAACTGTAAGGGAAGTTTCCGTTAGTGTTCTGTTGGAATTTCCCCTTAGTTTCAAGAAGTAAGTTCCACGTTTGATAACATACACTAGCATAATTTACTCCACAGAAATGTCGGTGTCAGTTTTAATGTATTATTGGTTAAATACTAAATATATGTTCTACCACACAGTAAGAATGACTATTCAAACATCAAATCATGCTGCAAAACTTAGCGTCCCAATCACGTTTCGTTTTACACGTAAAACATGTTTTGCTCTCCCCGTTTTGCGAATCAACGATTTACTTTGATGAGAATCCTCTGCCTCACTCTCAAATACAAAGCACGTTGATTTATCAATAGTCTGTAGGCTGATAATCGAGAGGTACGCGGTTTATATCTCGACAGGGTTACACCAACTGTCCTGACTGGCGATTTCATGGCTCTCCTCAGTTCTTCCAGGCGAAACTCGATCTGTTGCCTTGAAACAGGTTACGGCCACTTCAGTACACATCCTGTTTTACCCATTACTTTAGACAATTTTTCCGTTTTGTTTAAGAAATTCTGAAGTTAAGCGACCAGGTTTAGTGGACGAGCCCCATGTCTTCATAGTGCCTATTAAATTTGCATTGCGTTCACTGATAAAGTTGAACGCAACTGTCACTTTCCGGCTGGAACTGTGTGACTCACACCAAGCATTTTCCTGACACCAACCAAACATAACTCTACAAAAAATAATTTCAGCTTTTCAAAGCAACAGCAGTTCCTGCCAGAAGCTGGTAAGTGACAGTTGCTTTCAACTTTATCACTTAACACGCAGAATATTGAAGAGGCAGTGGCGAACGTCTTACAAGGGCTTGTTCTCCAGCTTGGGGGATTGAGTACGGGGATTAAAAACTGCTTATCGTAAGAAACTAGCATACTACGAGATTCTGAGGTTGCATGGGAAAGACAGGAAATGCTTACAAGATTGTAGCTGGTAAACCTAAGTGGAAGATACCACTTGCGAGACCTGGGCGTAGATGGGACAATAATATTAAATTAGATCTTAAAGAAATAAGGTGGGAAGGCGTGGAATAGGTTCGTCTCACTCAGGTTGGTTTTCACTGGCGAAATCTTGTGAGTGTGGTAATGAACCTTTTGATTCTGTAAAAGATGCAGAATTGCTTCCCCGAGCGTTTATTAAGTTCGGATCGCAAGAAAGAATTTGTTTCATGGAGTTAATTTAGTCATTAAACAACATAAAATCAATGATTACAGCAGATTATGTTGTCTTGATGGAGAAATGAACCCATCTGACAGGGGAAATAGCTCGGATAATATGTCTGCACCAAAAGAATATGACAAAATAAAGTACGCCCTTTTACGGAAGAAGTCTCAAGGACGAAGACGTATTTAGTTTTTCTTTAAAGTGGCAAGACAGGCTTTGTTACCGGAGTTTGATATTTATTAGCATTCGCGTCATATTGTAGCAATTGACTCTTGTATGTACATCATGGCTGTCTAGGCAGAGATTTCTCGGAAGAGGGAAGTATTTGGATTTGTATTCCGACCCTCACCATTATCACATAATAGGAAATACGGGTAGTTGCTCTACTGACCTTGTTTCCAGTCGGAACTAGTTGTGTCTGCAACAGACTTTAAGTTTTTCAAGAAAATTTCATATTCTCAATTTCTGAGGTATAAATTCTCATTGATATTTAGTTTACACTCCCACATCTAATTCTATGACTAATTTAACACCATTTTTCGTCAACATTTTAGTCCCTTAGTGATCCTTTTCCACGATATTTCTGAAACAAAAGTATTTATCAACAGCATCCGTGTTAACAAACGAAGTGGCTGAACGGATGACTTTTTGTTTCGTATTAAATA